GCGTGACCGCAAGGCGTGAGGGCACGTCCAACTTTTCCAAGACGGCTAAATCAAAAAGGGTGTGGATTTTCCCCTACCCTGGCAGACTCATTTTCCTACCCTTAATCTAGAGCCTGAAAAAGTAGTGTAAAGATCTGGCAACCCCTCACTATTCAGATAAACAGCGTCAAGAGTAGGCAAAGCCCACGGTTTTCTAATGACGTGATATTCCAAAGAAGTTAGAACAGTTTGTAATTCCAAAACAAAAAGTTCTGGCAAACACTAATAACCCTTCTTTAAACTAAGCTCTTACAGAACATACATCACATTAAATCCATCCTCCCTTTCTTCTAGACAAATAACAGACACAAAACATTAGCAGACATTTTGATTAACTTATGATAATGCTTTAAGTCAGAAAATAGTGGCGTCATATGGAAAGAAAGAAGCACCAAATAAGCAACACAACAGACTTTTTGCTACCAACTGGACCGCACGAAGCCAGGCAAATCCACTGCAGAAACTGCAGTTTTGGGAAACTGATGTGCAAACTGGGCTTCCACTGAAAAATAAAGCAAAACTGTATTTCATTGTTTGAAACTGAAGTTTCAAATTTTTAGAAAATATAAAATAACTTCATTGCAAACTAACTTTTCCTGCGTAAGTTTATCACAAACAAGTATTGTACAAGAAACAAAGCAGCACCTCAAAAGTGAACGCTACAGGGATGATTTAAAAGCATTAGCAAAAAAAAAAAAAAAAAAAGCTCAAACCAAAAGAGCTAATTTACTACCAAAGCTCAAGAAGCAGAAGCAATTCTGAAATATCAATACTAACTATCCTTTTGGTCGGTGATATTTTCTTCATTCCTAATAAGGGAACAAACAATAAGGACATTATATCTCCTTTTCTTTCCTTTTATGATTTTCACATTTCTCTTGCATACACCTTAAAAAATCCTTCAGCACTGTGACTTCTGTGATTCACTTAAAGGTCTCTGCCTATCACTGTCACCAAAAAAATTGTTTAGATGCTTAATCAAAAATTGCTAGTCTATGATTGATTACACAAACTGTGGTGCATCCACATCATGGAATACTACTCAGCAATAAAAAGGGAAAAAGCTACTAGTCAGGTGCATACCCATAGTCCCAGCTGCTCCTGAGGCTGAGGAGGGAGTGTCACTAGAGCTCAGGAGTTTGAGGAGTGCCTAAGGATCGAGTTTGTGAATAACCACTCCAGCCTGGACAACACAGGGACATCCCATCTCTAATCCCAGAAAGTTACATACGGCATAAATCTTTTTAGTAAACATTCCTGGAATGAGACTATACAGAGATCTATGGTGGCGACTGGAGGGTGGGGGAGAGGGTGGGAGGAGGTGTGTTTCTAAGAAGGGCAGCTTAGGGAGCCTCGGTGCTGATGAACTGCTCTGACTTTAACTGTGATGGTGAAACCTACACACAGGACGACATTCCACTGAACTAAACACAGTCAGCTCACCTCCAAGGGTTCCACAACCATGGGTGAAAAATATTTGAAAAAGAATTACATTAAGAAACAATACAGCTGGGCTCAGTGGCTCAACCTGTAATCCCGTGCCTTTGGGAGGCTGAGGTGAGTGGATTGGCTGAGACCGCAGGTTTGAGACCCGCCTGGGCAACTTGGCGAGACCTCATCTCTACAATAAATCAAAAATCAGCCGGGCATGGTAGCACACGCCTGTAGTTCCAGCTCCTTGGAAGGCTGAGGCAGAAGGATCACCTGAGCCCAGCAGGTCGAGGCTGTGGTGGCCGGGAGCGGCCACTGCACTCCAGTCTGGGCGACAGAGTGAGACTCCAACTCAAAAAAAAAAAAAAAAGAAATAATACAAATTCTAAAAATACAGTATAACAACTATTTACACAGCACTTACACTGTTTTAGGTATTATAAGTAATCTAGAGAGTTTAAAGTCTACAGGGGGATGCACATGGGTTATATACAAACCATTTTATACAACAGACTGGGGCGTATGTGGATTTTGGTATCCAGTGGGTTCCTGAAACCAATTCCTCACGGATACCACAGGGTAACTGTACAACACATACACAAATGAGTACTAGTAAAACTGGGGAAATCTGAATAAGACTGGTAGATTGTATCAACATTATAATAATGACCCATAGTTTTCCAAGGCATTAGTATTGAGGAAACTTAGTAAAGCATACATGGGATCTCTTTGTATTGTCCTTTAAACTATGTTTACGGTTATCTCAAAATAAAAAGTTTGATTTATTTAAAAAGTGCTAACACTTGGGAAAATCTGAATATACGCCAGATAGTAGACAATATCAGGAAATGACTGTTAACAGTACTATGGTTATACAGGACAATGACCTTATTTTTGGGAGATGCTTGCTGAAATCATTTTATGAAGTTTTATGTCCGCAACTTACCCTGTTTCACATATAAGGGAAGAGAGAGAAAACATATGACAAAATGTGAAGTATTAAATTTATTTAGATAAAGAGTTTAAGTATTCCTTGTTTTCTCCTCTCAACTTTTCAGTTTGACTTTTTTTCCCAAAAATAAAAGTTGGTGGGGGGGGAGATAAATCGCTATCCTAAACCTGTGTTACAGTCCTAACTACGTATATATAACATATAACTATGCTATAGTCCTACACAACAATTAGTCTTTTAACAGGTTTAAAAACAAATAATTGTTCTCCTAAAACTACCTTACAGTTTCACCTACACTCCAATTAGTCCTAAGACAAAAGAAAGCAAAATGCCAATAAGGATCTGAGCCCTGTGGCACTGGATGTGACGGTCTAATGTGCTTTTCAATACGAATATACTAAATCTGTAGGATACATGGAGTTTTTAAAGCTTGCAAAATCAAAATTGGTTCCACACAGGCAATTCTTTCTCTCTACAAAAACTGGACCTTCGGAGTGGTTCTACTTTCAAACAGGCGAAATTACAGTTGTCAGAGAAAAGCCTAACACGTTCGTCCACACCTCCCGATGTTTAAAAGTCCCAAGTTTGGCAAACACAGCTAATTCTTTAATACGAAAACGTTCGCGTGAAAGGGGCAACCCACTCACTACATGCCAAACGAAAAGAGGTGCGCCAGTGAATTAATTGCAGCTCCGGGGCTACAGAACACACTCCACAACGTAAACAACCCCGACAGACATCAGCGCACTCCTGGTTTAAAAAAAAAAAAAAGAAATGCAGACGGCACACATGGGCCGCGCAGGGCAGGAGCGAGCCTGCGCTCGCGTCGAGCTCCCGCTCCGAAGTTCTCCCGCGGAACTCGCCCTCCGCCCCAAGCGTCGGCACCGCCGCCCAGACGCCTCGACGCGCAGGCAACGTCTGCGCCCGCAACGACTCGGCGCGGGCTCCCGGCTTCTCGCTTCCCACCGAACCGCCCCCTCGCGACGGG